ATTCACTATTCAATCAACTCTACAACACAAATCGCGTCCAAAAATTGAGTCAATGCTTTCTAAAAGCATGAAGACTCCAGTGATTTAACCTGTTGTTACCAGTAACTGACTTAGTGGTCTGTTCATTTTAATAGGGACTCATTAAAAGGATGATTTATTTTTTTATGAAAATATTTCGGCTAGTATTTGCCAGTCTTGGTCAGTCTTTAATTTGAGTAAAACAGTAAAAAAAGTTCGAAACGATTAAGAATTTGAATCAAAGAAAATAAATCGAGTTGATGATGTTTACAACGTAATAGCAAGTCGAGGCATAAAAATTTTTTTTTCTCCATATCATATTTTTTTTTGGAGTAAAGATATGTATTTGTACCAATATTCTCGTCTCAATTATTATTAAGAAATGAATGTTGTCAATAGGATTCATATAAGATTTTTAGGGCTACATAATGAAATATTTTTTAGGAACGCTACAGTTTGTATTAATTCGAATATACACATGTGACGACATGTGTACAACGGTTTCACAGAGCTCGGCTTCACTGGAAATGAATATATCAAATATTTCATACATATTATTATTTTATTTTTCCGAGCGCTTTCGGCTATACCTTTAGCCATTATCAAGGATGATTTGATTTTTCAGCTTAATTGAGTGGGTGCGTTCTGTGTATGTCTTAGTGTGTGGTAGGGATATTCTTAATTTCCGAATACGGTTAGCACATTGTGGCTTTGTTCGTTGTTAATATTGTTAAGAGTTGTTTTTTTCTTTTTTATTATTAAAGCTTCCATTATTTTTAGTCTTTTTTGCAGGTGGATGCATTTAATATATCTGAAAAATCAAATCATCCTTGATAATGGCTAAAGGTATAGCATGAAAGCGCTCGGAAATATAAAACATTTGGACAGTTTTTACACCCTTTGTCCAGAAAAAGAAAGCTCTTGTTAGAACACAAGAAAATTTAAATAAAAGCTTAACCGTAGTACCTTGTCTGTCGTTTTAATGAAACATGCATAAAGGAAGGATTACTGCCTATATATATATATATATATATATATATATATATATATATATATATATATATATATTTAAAATGATTTAAACATCCGCTGTCCAAAAAGACCAGGTAGAATTTCGAATTCAATTGTTTTGTCAACACTGACAAACTTCCACGAACAGTTACAGCCAAGCCAGTCCAAAATGTATTTCTTTGGATCTTTCCCGTACGGTCGAGACGGGGGCCATATGCCATCGCCGAAGCCTGTGTCATGGAGTAGTCACCCCCACTTTCACCACCATAGGACTGAATATTGAGGAAACAGGCCGCTACAATTATATCTTGAGATAAACGGATGTCTACTATTACTACCATGTGTATAAACTTTGGATGCATCAGGTCATAAAAATTCTGTAAAAGTGCTCAATACGCCAAGTACAGGAAAATATAAAAAAACATTTTCTCAATAAAATGTTGTTTGGGCCAACCCTCTTGAGTGAGAATTTTCCTGATGATCCGTTAAATGAAACCGAAGTAGATAGGTTCTGGCTCTTTAGGTATTCTAATTTTCCTCTGCTTAAAGTATTGAGCACTTTTACGTATCAACTTAGGTAACTCAGTCGGTGTTTTTTTTTTAATTTTTTTTTTGTTTTGGCAAGACATTGCCCTGCTGGGTGATTATTTTCAATATTTTTAGTCTTTTTGCATTTTATTGAACTTTTGCCCAAATATCAGTTTGTCTAATAATTTTTATTATTATTTACAAATTGCATTATCTGCGCTTTTTTCACATCGCCATCGTTATAGTATAGGTAAAAAAATTTATATATATATATATATATATATATATATATATATATAAAGAAATATACATATTACCATACATTGATTGCATAGCTCTGAGTTTCATACCGACGCAATTTTCAAGTGTTTGAAAATTTATGTTGAAGCACTTGAAAATTGCATCGGCTTGAAAGTCCGAGTTGTGCAATCAATGTAAGCTATTATGTATATTTCTTAGTATATATTAAATAACTCTGTTATTTTAATATTGAGCACTGTTTTTCTTACACAGATGAAACAGAACTAATGCTTTTAATTTGATTATATATTAAATTTGAAGTTTTTAGCTTCGGTTTTTGAAACATGGTAATCGAGGAAATTATAAAGAAGGAACCATATTTCAAATCAGATTTTAATATATATATATATATATATATATATATATATATATATATATATATATATATATGTAAATTGTTTTTTGAAGGTAGTACAGTTCTTCATGTTTTTTGGAAGATCAGAACACACGCCACTATTAAGTGAACTGCTAAACTTGACATTTAATAAAAATGGGACAAGACTGTATCGCGCCAGCGTTGTAACTAGTCTAACGAATTTTAAAATCATTGTTCTTATTTAATAGTCCGAAATGTTATCTACCTTATCTGTTGAGTATCAATCTATGGCAGGCAATCTTCAATCTATTCAATATTCTTTTCTGTCCATAGACTCGTGCTCCCAACTCACGTCAATAAAGCATGCTTTGCTAGACGACTTTTAAAAATATTATACTACTACAAGCACCCTATATTAAATGGTAGTCGATGTCTACAGGAGTGGTGACATGATGTTTGCATCCGGGTATATAAGTGCAGAAAGACTCTATTATTTTTAAGAGTGGGGAGGGAATGTTGTGGAGGGTGTTTGCGCGATTACGTTCTTGCGTGCGCACGCAGATGTTTCTTTTTTTTCTTTCCTGTTCGTCTGCCTGTGTGCGAACGTTCGTTTTGTGCACAGTGGCATGCCTCGATGTCGGGTGTGGTATGTGGGGTGTCTATTGATTTTATAAGTGACTGTCTAAGATGCTGATTCGATTTTTAGGTCTTCGTACTTTGCAAAAAACCCTCGTCTGCGGCTTGGTAGCAATGACGTCACTACTCGGCGCCATTTTGAGAAAGGAGAGAATGATGCCGACGGTTATATCGTGCTGGGTTTAGTGATTGCAATCGGGTCGCTGGGTGGAGGGTGTTGCTTGCCGCGGTTGAGGCAGAGAATAGAGCCGATGGTGCTTATGAACAAGATCTAAATGAAAACAGCACGAAGGAAGAGAAATATTAAAAAGAAAGAAAGAAAAAAAATGGCGAGTAAAGAAAGATGAATGGAGAAAAGAAACAGAAATGAAATATGTTGGAGAAAAAAGAGAAAAGGAAACAAAAAATATGATAATTAAAAAAATTGATTAATTAAAGAAATATAAATAAATAAATAAAAATGTCAGTACACGAATATATAGTAATATTAGTACGACTAATTTTGGTAGTCTGATACTTATCCATTGGAATTGTTGACTTATACATATTTATTAAGCTTAACTTATTCAGACAAAAATCTTTCTATCTGTAACACCCAGTGAGGATAAAATTCCATGCATAATAAGAAACATGTTGATAGGGATAACATTTATCCCAAGGCGAGGCACACCTTGTGAATTTATTACAATAAATATACTGCTGCTTTTGTAGTAATCGGGAGCGACATCTGGTGTTGAGATGCGAATGCATTAAAAAAATAGTTCAGTACTCACTTCTCAAGTAGGTATAGTAGTTGTAGAATTAAGGCGACTACTACTTATTTGGGCGGTGGAGGAGAAGGGGGTGGGAAAGGAGGGGTAGAAGGAGGGCAAGAAACTGGAAAAGAAAATATGGAAAAAGAAAGAGAAAAGAAAAGGAAAATAAAAGAGACGCAGAGAGGAAGACGAAAAAAGAAAGAAAAAGAAATGGAAGAAAAAGTCAGACGACAAAGCAGAAAAGAAAGATACAGGGAAAAGAAAAGAAAAACAAATTAGAACATACAAGAAGAAAGAGAAGAAAAGAAAGCAAACGTGGAATAAAAGGAATAAAGAGAAAGAAAAAAAAAAATGAAAGAATGGAGAAGGAAAGGATGAGGAAAAACAAGGAAGAAAGTGAAAAACATGTAAGAAAAAAGAGGAAAATAATGACGTAAAGTAAAGAAGAAGGCAGTGAAGAAGAAGAAGAAAAAAAAGACGTAAAAGAAGAAGTAAAAGGATTAGTAGAAGGAGAAGAAGGCGAAGAAGAAGAAGTAAAAGAAGAAGAAGAAGAAGTAAAAGAAGTAAAAATAGTAGTAGTTGTAGTAGTAGTAGAAGAAGAAGATGAAGATGAAGAAGAAGTGAACACGAAAGAAAAAAAAAAAGATACAGAAGAGGAAAAAGAATGTCCTCAGCTATGGATCATTGTAAACCCACAGCTATGTTTCTCATTAAGTCATCACAATTTAGATAATAAAGAAAAGTAATCTGTGGAGAGCCATAATCGCCTACTTTATGAATGAAAATAAAAAATATATAAAAAGAAGAGGAAGAAGAGGAGGATTAAGACAAAGGCGAGAGGAAAAGGCACCAATGGCGAATGAGGAGACAGGAAAAGAAAAAAAAAAAAAGAAAGATTTAAAAGAAGACATTTAAAATTAGAAAATTTGGTGAAATAAAAAGAAAAAAATATATAATGGCGATGATAAAAAATTAAGAAAAAAAAAGTCCCTGAGTAAAAGTGAGATACTCGGGAATGAGGAATGAAAGAGAAAAGCAGCAAATTATTTAAGAAAGAAAAGAAACGAACCTAGCGCTGATAAGGAACTAAATTAAAAGAGAAGGTGAAAGAAATGAAGAAAAATCAGTATAAGCGCTGATGGACAAAAAGGAAAGTGAATTATTTTTGTATAAAGAAAGAGAAGGAGAATAAAAGAAAGAGAGAGAAATAACCTAGAAACCCCCCCCAAAACCCCAAAAAACCAAAGATACCATTCGCAGAAATAAAAAACTGAAAAATAAGAAAAAGTCGTCAAATTAAAATGGAGCATAGAATTCTGTTTTTGTTAAATTTGGAAAGAAAAAAAGGTTTCAGTGAAGAAATAAAAGAATCATTGTTAGTTCGATTGTCGTAGCAATCAAGACCGATTTCAGTGCCAGTTGCCATTGTGTTGGTT